ATATATAAATACAAAAAATTAATAGTATTTTTTTTAAAAATTTAAAAATTATTTAAAATTATCTTTGTTTTAAAAAAATTGATAATTTCAGTATTACTATTTATTAAATTTAATTTTGTCAAATGAGTTTTTTTAAGATATTTCATTAGATTAGAAGTATTGCCTCTACTACAAGTATATATCATCCTGCAATATTTATAGATAGTTTTTTTGTTCTTTTTAAAACTTGCATTTTTTGTAAAGTGTTCCTATACTTTATTTCTAGAAATTGTTGAGGTAACTGAGACTGATTCTGATGAATTGCTTATATTAGCGTTTTCAATATTGATATTATCATGGCTAGTTAAACTGCTACTTTTATTGTATACAAATTGTATGCTATCAAATATATTTTTATATTCCATTTTTAAAAGAAATAAATTAGTAAAACAAAGGATACAATGAAAATAATTAAGCAGTAAAACTATAATATTGCAAAGAAATGTTTAAAAAATCATCAAGAAGAGTAAACATTGAATTTTTTTTTAACTTGCCCTTTGTATTATTTTTTTTTAAAAAAAAAACCTTATTTTAATTTCCTAGATAGTTCAATTTAAATGAATTAAATAATTATATAACAATTTATATAGATTGGTACATATTTGATTTGAATTATATCAGGTTTAATTCAAATCTGATTTGAATCTGATAATTTTATAGATTTAAAATTCGATTTGATCCAAATCTGATTGAATTAAAATTTTTGAAATTTGATTTGATCCTATTTGTATTCGATTCATGGATCAATCAGATTCAGATTAAAATTGTGAACACTACTATTATACACAAACCAGTTTGTTAAATATAATATAAATATTTAGCTATAGTATTTTTCATATTGTTCTGATAAATATGTATTTTGGTTTTTTAAAGATTAATAAACTACTATCTAATCTGGTTGTGAGTAATTAAAAAAAAAAAATTAATTAATTCTATATACAGTATATTGTAAATCCAATCAAAAACTAAAGTTTGAATAAAATTTCTTTTGTAAAAAATATTGAACTTCTTATATTGTATATACTGTACAATTTCAAATTCCAATAGAAATCTCATATTATAAAAAAAATAATATATATTTTTTTCGAAGACAATTCCAGTGTTCTAGCAATTAATTTTCAAAATTTTCATTGCTGCGCCAAACAACTTCACCATCCTAATAGTGCTTCGGAATGATTCTCTATTATGATGACTACATATTGCTCAATTTTTATGATAGAAAATACAAGGATGTTCATTCTGACTTGTGAACAAGGATGTCAATCGATCTGTTCACAAGAAATCCTACGCGGTGATACACGCAAACATTCCTTCATGAACTTTTCATTACATTGGTACAACGGTCAGTCAAAATTAACATGGCTTTAATATATTCGACCATTCCCGACATACTCGGTTCCTCGCCGACAATGTCTTTGGTCGTCCATCTCGCAGTATTACCAGCATCCAACGTTTCATTTTCTCCGAAATGATCTAGGTGGTTGACGTTTAAAATCTTTTTATACGTGGAAAAATTAAAAAGGAAATAAATCTCTAATAATTTAATTGACGATGAAGAAACATAAAAAGGAAGATAAAAAACCACTGACCTCAATAGTCCAATGAATATTACCTTCCTCGGTTTTACCTACAACTTTATTGAAATCCGGTTGATCTATCAATGTGCGTTTCTCAATTCGAGTAAGCTCGGCGATAAATGGAAAATGCAACTTGTATTTCGAGACCGTTTTATAGCTGATGGAGTCGACTTTAAGAAGATGTTCAATGTTCTCACACGTTATCACGTTTTGATCTGGACTGATGGTCGTCCTTTTGATGAATTTGGTGAACGGTTTGATATTGGAGCGAATGTATCGCCTTGTGCTTAAGTTCAATGCAAAATCGAATTTGCTAGAAGTATACCATCGTATTAATACCATTTATTATCGAACGTGAACTTGTGAGATATTCTTACGCTACTTACCGATCCAATATCGTCCAATAAGCGTTTACATGATTATCCCAGGCCAAATAAACCTTTTCCAAAACGACAGCACAGCTGACATGCATGAATACTTTGTTATATTGTTCCGTGGCATTGTTTCTGGCGTTAGCCACGATCTCAAAAAACGAGGATTCATTGTACGGCCTATCGCCTAAAACCCCGGCCAATAGTTGACTAACATCCTCCGAGTCGGTCACGCTGTAAAGTAGTCGATCAGATAATATTGAATCGCGAGAATAAGAAAATTTAAATAAGAACTCACAAATTCCGATAAACTGGTTTTACTAAGTGTTCTCCAACTATTACATCTTTCAAATCCGTGAATTCCCAAAGTTTCTTTGCAACATCCGGGCGTACATTCGTAAAAAAAACTTTTCCCAGACTGCACGAAAAGTTAAATTGAGTGATGACGAAAGTAGATTCATTTTGTACCAGAGATCTTCGATTTACCTTCCAGAAAATTTGACTTCTCCCTTATGCACACGAACATATTCGAACCTAAATTATGTCTCGTATTATGATTTGAAGTTTAAAGAATTTTCAGAGAAATAAGCAGAGCCGACTCTTTACCCTGATTCTAATGCCTGTTTCATTTGTGCAAAGTTATAATTTCTGACGCTAAAAGAAATAACAATAAAGTGTTAGAGTACAATAAAATGCTCATTCTATTATTTTCATCGTTTCACAAGTTTGAACTTACGCGTCGCCCGGTTTTGTATTGCTAGCGACTTTAGGACTTTTTTCCAGAGTCATGGGATTAACTGGTACATTCATAAAATCATCATCGTGCTTTTTTTCGTCGAGTGGCTCTGCCGGCATATACCAACCCGTGGAAGTTTTTTCGTTTGGGACATCTTCCGCACCTCCATATTTAATCGCCCGAGTTTTTCTTGCCTCAGCTAGTCGAGCCCTTTCGGCCTCCTTAAGAGTTTTTTTCTGTTCTTCCGCAGGAGCAAAACGTTCCGGATACTCTGAACTGGAAATCGGTGCTTGTAAACCATCTCTTTTTCCAGGTGAGGATGTTGAAGTGCTCGGCGAATCCGTCCATGGTGTCTGAGTTCTGGGAGGATCTATAGCTGGCCAGTTGTAAGAATCAAAATTATCCTGCTTTTGACCTTGTGAGTTGGTGTTTTTACTACTTTTCGATTCAACTCCTGGGAACTCTTTGCTTTTTTCACTAAAATGGGGATTCAGCCAATTTTGTTTTGCATCTTTTATGACCAGTGTTAATATATATGGATTTTTAAGATCTTCTCTCTTAAACGTTTCGCTAAAATATAAATGCTGCTCAAGTGCCAAGAAACGCAACTTAAAGCGAACCGTCCTATTCATAAGATGAACGAGTGGTATCTCGATTTTAACAGGTCTTCTTTTCTATCATTATCGGAAAGTAATCGTCATGGTTCATAAGACTGCAACGGTGAAGATGAAAACTTTGACAAAGAGACACGCACATATATTTCCTCTAATGCTTGTAGTCTTCTTATGGCTTCATCAACATCTTCTGGTTTCTCACCTTCAACACGGACTTCCTATAGTAGAATGTGATGAGATCAATTCAAAGTAAATTTAACGACGATATAATAAGATGTACACCAATATATTACCTTTTTGTATGGAAACGCGTCTCCTTTCACGTTACACTGCGCACAGATCTCATCCCAGGCAGTGGAACCATTGATTACGCGCTTCCAGTCCAATATCTTATTAATATTTCCAGTCGAGGGTGAAAAACGGAAAGTCTTAGTGTGACTCCCCGCACTTTCACCTCTAATAAATGGGAACGGGTCTTCGTCGTCGTCCAATGGTGGAGGTCTTCCAACTTTTTCATCTTTCTTGTTTGACTTTGACTTTCCGGTAGATTTCTTAGAAGTACTCTCAGTTTTACGAGGGGGAACGGTCAAGACGGTCTTGGCTTCGCTCGACTGAAAAGAACGATAACAATCAAATTTGCAATTGCTCAAATATTGGATTAGACATCATGCATGTGAACTAACTTCATTACCATCTCGCATAATAATTTAAAGAAATCTTTTCGTCTGCAAGAAATCAAAAATTGAAAGTCAAATTTTTCATATACTCCCGGGATAAGCACGCTTAAATTTTTAGCATTTACACTTCGCCCATCATCTCGTCTGAATTACTTTTGATTTCAAATGCCTGTCGCGACGGTTACAATGCAAAATTATTATTATTAGAAACGATTAATTAACAGCAAATAATTCAGACATGCCTGTTTTTCTGGCACAAAAGAAATCATGGCCTTGTACTTCCTTTCTATTTCGCTGCATTCAAAACACTTTTAATGCTCGGAAAAACTTACGTCTTGCTTGTTTTTTTTTTTTTTCAAGTTACCTCCAAGAATTTTCCAACCGCAATATTTGATTTTCGTCCCACTCCCAAACCGTGTACACCATATGTGTGTACACGAGGTCTTCAGACTGAGTCGACACTGACATTGAATCATCGTCCAACATTTTAACTGAATTGTGAAGAACCTTTCAGATTGTGCAAATCATGAATTTTATTATATGTAAGCGTGCGGCTTATCTCGATGCGATACTACGTATGTTACACGAGATCTTAAACTATTTCGTATGTACGTACGTGCATTTTACAAGTATATCTCCGACTTATATAAATATGTTATAATGTGCAGATTACAGTCATCTCGAGTTTAATTCTATTTAATGCATTTTTATTTTTTTAAAGATCTTTTCTTTTCGTCACCCCCTAGTAACCTGCCAGATGCGAATTTTATTGTCTAGGATACGACGGAAGCGAGATTGTTAGGAACAGAGGTGAATGAACTTTGAAGATTGAGCAAACCATTGATCGATTATTCACCTGTATAACCGGCGAATAAGGTTGTACCATCTGGTGACCAAGCAAGGGAGATGCATTCTGGATCCTTTGAATTTCTACCCGTGTCCGTGAATTCAGGTTTAAGATCATCTACAACGGTTTTTGTTTCGAGATCCCAAATCTTGATGAAAGATGCAGTGGCA